TAAATATTAAATTCCAAAACAAATCAATGTAATAACGGTACTTTTCATTTATACACGTAGTGAAAAACCCTTACCATAAGAGGGATTATAAACCTACGACAGTGTCATTTCTTCTTCGGCCCTCCACTTCCGAAACTCTTTCTTACTTGATCAATCATTCTATCAAATGTGTAGCGTCCCCATGGAAATCTCTCACAGAAAGCCAAATCATCCACCATATCCACCAAATCATGGTTTATAAACTCATCTGTGGTGCCATGATCCAGTATTCCACCGAGCAACATGATAACAGCCAGTTTCTTCCTATCAGCAGCCCTTTGAGTTGGCGTCTTCTCGAGATGTCTTATCACACTCTCCTTAGATACCTTTCGATTTCCAAAAGTCTTCACTCTAAACTGGCTTATCCTCATATATTCCCATCCAGCCGGATACTCACCGCATTTCAATCCGGATATGAGAGCGTGTTCAACGATGGAGTATCTAATGGGCACACCATTTAGAACAAACCATAATTCCTTTTCATCCTCCGCATTGACACAATGGTTTATCAGGAATGCTACTGGAGCCATCTTCAGCGTGCCATCAAATTGCATGTGAAACAGATGCTGAAACTGTGACTCATGACTGAAATACCTCCATTCTTCAGGGCTTAACAAGTCTTTCAGTTTTTTTATTGTCTCCGACGGGTAACACTTGGTATTTATCTTAGGAGAGAACTGAATGTCTTCCATTTTGTACATAAACGACAACTACACAACAATAAAATACATCAGATCATGTGACCTGTGACAATGTGAAATAGTACCATGTGACCTATTCTCCTCTGACCTGTGACCAATTGTCCTGGTACCACTACAAAAAAATCCTCTAGATCCAACAGATTTTCCAACGGATTTGTCCGTTGGAAATTGGATTTTCAACGGTTTTCAACGGCGTTTCAACGACGATTTCCGTTAAAATTCCGTTGAAAATTTCCAATGGATACCCGTTGGAAACACTCGTTGGAAATTTTTAACGGAATTTTCAACGTATTCAATTGAAAAATTGGGTTGGAAATTTCCAACGGTATTTCCAACGGATATCCGTTGGAAATTTTCAACGGATTAACGTTGGAAAAATCGGTTACAAATTTTTAACGGAGTTCCAACGGATGTTTGTTAGAAAATAATTCCAACGGAATTCCAACGGATGCCGGTTGGAAATTTTTTTGGAAATTTAAAAAAAAAAATTCCAACGGAATTCCAACGGATGCCGGTTGGAATTTTTTTTGGAAATTTTTTTAAAAAAAATTCCAACCGAATTCCAACGGATGTCGGTTAGAAATTTTTTTGAAAATTTTTAAAAAAATTCTAACGGAATTCCAATGGACATCGGTTGGAAATTTGGATTTTAATTGAAAAATCAATTGATATATATATATATATATATTCGAATTCATATACATATATGTATAATATATATTTCCTATATATATATAAAATATATATACACAAAATATACATGTATTTATACATATATATATA